CTTTTGAAAAATATTCACAATTATATTCAACTCATTTACAAGCTTTAACATGTCCATGTACTACAATATCCATTGATTATAAAAAGTTTCTCAATGTTGAATATACATTTCATCAAGTATGTAGTAGTATTTATGTAACCAGCGATTGGAGAGAATCTATTTTATTATTTTCTCCACACATACCATTATATGTTGGTGATTTTCGAGCACTTCGTAAATTCTTCTTTCAAGCTTTGAGTACATTTTGTGAATTAACAAATCAAACAGTATCTGAAAGTTTAACTAGATTCTATTCAAATCGATATATTAGTGCTACAGTAATATCTTCAGACTTGTTTCATTTACAAATGCAATCAATATTTAAACAATTTGTTTCCTTGACAACAAACGATTTATTATTATCATTAGAAATTATACGAGATACAACACAAGTCAATGCTCTTTTCTCTGGACGTTGGACAAATTATAATTTACGTACAACATTTGCTCCTAGATTTTCTGACTTGAAAATTGCAGCACAACTTCCTCAAGAATATTCAAAATGTCGATGTGATGTTTCAATGACATGTATTGAGCAGGCAACCCTAAAAAATGTTGCTCATAGCATTACATCATTTGCAATACCAGGTATTTATCGAGGATGTTTTATAATTGAATCATTATTACAATCAACTCTCGAATGTTTTTATAATCAAACATGTGTCGATAAGTTACATTCATATTTAGCATTTAATTCATCTATGAATACAACAGCACTTGATTCATCTGTATCAAGTCGTTTCTTTGTAAATTCAACAATAGAAGAACTTGTTAATAAGTTAATGATTGAACGATGGAATTTATCTAGAATGTATGAAAATTATTACAATGCATGTCAACCAATAAGTTGTACCTATAATTATGCAACAAGAAATGATATTATTTACATTGTAACGATTGTATTTGGTTTAGTTGGTGGCATTGTGACAATTTTCAAAATTATCTTACCATCATTTGTTAGATTAATTGCATATTGTTTTCGAAAGCGACAAAGAGTTACACCTGACGTGTCACATATTCCAATCCAATAAAAAATTTCTACTCACTGACTATAGTTTATGTTCAAAAATCGTTGATGTAATATCAATATTCAAATGACTGAAAAACTTTAAAAATTAAATGATTTTTACTATTCACAATTACATAAGAAGAAATAATACTAATCAATTCACTTGATGTAAAAGTAAAAAAAGAAAAGGACAAGTTTAATTGAATTAATGAGACATTTTGAGAAAAGAAACAAGTAATTATTTGTCAAAAATCAGTAAGATTTAACAATGAAGAGAAATACAATGTAAAATAAAAAGAATATTCTACATAGATGAATCATATTTACATATAAAATCTAGTGCTCATCACTAAGAATAATAGTTAGCTATTGGTGTATGTGTGAAAAATTTAAATTATCTTTATTTGAATGTAAATTGTATAGCTAAAAATCATTTTCTACATTGTCTTGTAATTCTATGTTTTGCCAATTCCAAAAATATTTATTATGATCGAAAAGTCTGGTAAATATTCAATCTGCTTGTAGTGCATAAAATTCTATTTAGTTTTTAAGTGAATAATCTCATTTTTTCTTCAAAAAGGGAATGTGTTATTTATTACTTATCGTCTTACATGAGTCATTCTCATCTTTTTTTCACATAGTTATTTATTGTCAAACTTGTTTTGTTTTGTAATAAAACTATGTTAAATGTTGTTGCTTTTTTTGTTGTATTATTCGTTGTATTATTTCAATTTTAATAATCATTTAACATCGAAATGTATCTCATTCAACAACAACAAAAAACGTATTGTAACGAAAAAAGCACTGTTTGATTTTAATTCCTAATCTTGAAATGTATTAGCTTCTTTTATTAAAATATTGAGTGATTCTATTTTATTTGAATAAAAATACGATAAGAAAAGAGTTTATGATGATTTTATTTTTTTGATAACGCTTGTTTTTTTTTTCTTTGTGTATCATTTTATTACCAATGCAATATCCTGAAAATCTTCAAACTCCGAGGCACTAACAAATTTCTTAATATTAAGCGATGAGAATGAGGCAAATAAAATTTGTTATCCATCGTTTTTTCTGAGGTAAAGGTTATTTTTCGAAGATAAGGATTTTATAGAAAGTTTGAACAAAATTTTTTCGAGAACAAGAAGTCTGAGTCTCTAATTGTTTTTTCGAGGTTTGTGATAGAAATTTAAATTAATCGGCTCTGATGAATTTTTGTTCAAAATTTATATAAAATTCTTCTTTCCAAAAAATAATCTTTTTCTTGTGAAAACAAATTGTATTTGCCTCATTCTATCTTGTACTTTTAAGTAAATTAAATATTAAGCAGAAAAACTTAAACTTAATATTAATGAATTAAGTGCTGTCTAGAAAACTTTCCATGTAAAAAAATGATCGGAAAAATCAGATTTTAATCGATTTTTTCTGATTAATAATCGATTAAAATGGCACGATTTTAACCTGATTTCTTGATTTTGAATAAATTTTAATCGACTATTCGACTGTTAATCAATTTTAATTCTATGACTAAAAAACGCGTTTTTCTCCAGCTTTCGCTTAGAAACTTGAATTTTTTATTATTTTTTCTGACTCCTTGCGTTGACAAATGGTAAGTGTAGTACTAGCCCTATCCTTGGCACATTCCTATCTATGACATCGATTCACACTGACTCGTGTAAGCCATAATACCGATATCTTAGATTAAAATCGATTAAAGATCAAATAATTTATTAAAATTTATTAAAAATCTTATTAAAATCCTGCCATTTTAATCAATTAAAATCTGATTTTTTCGGTCATTTTCTTTGCATGGGTTATCTTAGCGCTGCATATAACTAATTAAAGCTCGATTAAATGAAATCAGATTAAATGAAATCGTTCAGCTCTACTGGGTAGTCAGTAAACTAGGAGTAGTGCATGCTCATGACAAAGAATAACTTCAGTGAACATGAAATCAATTCTAAAATGAAGCTACATTTGTTAATTTTGAATCTTTTGTAAAAACAATTCAATAATTTGATAAAAAGTAGTATTATGGCCTGAAATTTTCAGTTTATGTTCCTTGGTGTTCATAGCTTAAGTATACATGCATATCATTTTGAATTATTGCTCGATTCCTATTTATTATTAAAATATCTGTCCATTAACAATATTCCATATGTTTTGCATAAAATATGTACTCATAGGCGGTAGAGCATCATAGTTTGGGTAGACTCAAACACTTTTTTCCTTCCATCAGATTGATAAATTTGAGCAGCATATCACAAATCATGTACCAATGACAATAGCTTAAGTCACCTTCAACGATTAATAATAATATTTTCTTAGTTAAACAGACTTAGAACACGTTTTTTAGAAGATATGGAGTTTTATATCAATAAATATTGGGACGTATATTAGGAAATGACTTGAAGTGGGAATCTTTCATTACAAGTAAAGATAAAACATTTTCAACAATGAATAAAATCACAATGAATTATCTTTTATTTGTCAACATTTTTTGCTTCACTTTGAAAATTTTTTCTAACAAAGCAGATCAAAAACTTTTCTTTCAAGGATCAAATTAAAATTAAAATAAATTCTTTCTTACGTAAGTTGCGATTTTTTCTCTGGCCTATACTTGTATTATATACGCTGCAAAATGTGAGTTCGAAAAAAGAATCACTATCGTTTTTTTTTTCATCAGAATGGCATTAAATAATTCGTCATTTCTTACTTTTCACTTCCA